AATTAAGCGCTCTATTGTTCTTGTAAGATAGAATACAAATATTTTCCCTTTTTCTTCCTCCTCAGGCTTAAGCTCGTGCGCCGATGTGAATTCGCCAACTACAGACACCGCCTGCTCCTCGTCAGCATCCTCTGCGATGATGTGTCAATCCCACCTTTTATACGATCAACACAGCTCCGAGGAGGAATTAGAAGTGATCAATGGACCATCATCGGTTGCAGCCGCTGAGGCGGCGTCCAATGTATTGGTGGTGCGGGGCACCGCCTCATCACTCATATCGGAGCGTGGCTCATCGTCGTTGGAGCCCGAAGAGCTATTCGGCGAAGCATCGACATCGAAACGTTCGAGCTCAACATTAGTTGAGAATCGTAAAAGATCTCTGGCCCACAGCTCCGATGATGACGTAAGCCAACAAAGCAAAGCGATACATGAAATTTTGAACTCTTTTTTTTTGATTTGTCATTTAGCAGCTGAGGAACTTCTTGGAACCGGTATTGACCCCAGTGAATTTTCGCACATCGCCACCATTAGAAGCTTTCAAGCCAAACCGCAGCCACAAATATCGCTCCACAACGCCACTGATATTATCGGAGGCGCGCTGTGGCATCGAAAATATTAAATTATGTGATAATAGTGTTAATGACGAAAATGGTGAGGCTGCTGGCGCTGCGTCGTGTGCGTCGTCGTCGTTGGGCGCAGCAAGTGGTGGAAACGGTAGCGGCGGCGGCGGCGGTGGCGCCTGCGGTGGTAACGCCAGTTCAACGAGTGTGATTAAGGCGTGCGCCTCATCGCTCAAAATGAGCAATAGCAGCCATCATATCTATCAGCCGCAACCGAAATATAATTTCCACTATAATAGTTCGCGCAGCAGTCCAGCATCAACGACCGCTCTCGATGCGATGGAGGTGCGCTCGGTTAGTCCACCGGCGAAACTCTTCCATTCGGCTAGATCACCACACCGCCGACCGATACGCACACAACACGCCACACAGAGGCTACAGCGACCACATCGGCCGTGCTTAGACTTCGACAAAATGCAGCAAGTAAGTCTCTAATGCAGCGCCAAATCAAAGACTTTTTACTTCTCACTAATTACCAGTAAATGTACCTAAAAGCTCGCATTACCCAAAACGAATACAGTATGATGATGCTGATTGATGATGAGGATAAATGATATCTAAGAAAGATGATGATCATGATCATGATGATGATCATGATGATGATGTTTATGTTGAGGGAAGCATAATGAGTTAAAGAGGTGATAATGATGAAGCTGAAGATGATAATGATAATTATGTTTATGGACAGTAATGTTGATAATCGGTTTTGTACAGCAAAAAAGTGTAATGAAGAAAAATTAATGCAAAAAATTTGTATCTTTTATGCTAAGAAAGAAGAGCAAAGTGTCTCAATAAGATGTAGACTTTTTTTTTAAAAGAACATGGCGCCATATAATTAACAGCGAAAAATATGATAAAAAAAAAAACAATAAGACATGCAACTACTTATATTATAAAAAACAATAGCCCCAACTATCCAAAACACTAAATTTACAGACTCTTCAGTAACTTGAAATCAAAGCTAGTAAGCAAACCAGGAATTTATTATAAGCATGTGAGGAGGGTTTATAAAAGCTCACAATTTCTCTGATTTTAAGTAAACAAACGAATTAAAAGTCAATATTTTTCGTTGCATAGTTAAACAGAAACTTTAAACTCACGCCAGTTCTACAAAAACGCCGATTATGTCAAGTTCTGCTCATTTGGACAAAACCAAAATGATCTCGTAATTTTTTTTTTTACTAAACAAGATTGTCAAGAATTTAACGCGAATCGCAGGCAAATATTTAGATTTTAAGCGGCTTATAAAGACTTGATGAGGCTGACACAGATGGTACATCTGTACAGACATACTGACGACCAAAATTGTGACTTCTCTGATTTTCAGTATGACCAGTTCATCACAAAAAATTAAACAAAATTGAGATAAAAAATGTTTAAAAAAAATAAGCTACAAAAGTTAGCACAAAATTTACGAAACTAAAGCGAACGGTACACATTAAAATAAATTTTAAATTTTTTCGCTCAAAACTTTGCAGTCGGGTTTAAGAGGTCTTTTCCTGTTCCCTTGAAACGAAAGGCGCAACACCCCGCGACTCGCAAGCTCCAATTTTTCATTTATTTAAAATCCGTTGCTTCCAAATAGTAGAGCAGCTATTGGAAGGTCTTCTGCCAACTTCACCGCAATTTTTTTTTAAACATTTCTATAAAATCGATATTTTTCTCAGAGTGTTAAAAAGAAAGAATTTACTTATGGAAGAGCCAGCAATAAAAAAGCCACGAAGCTAGAACTAAAATTCCGAAGCTAGAGCAAAAATATGAATAATGCTAAATCAATCCTCAAAAATAATAACCTGGTCACACTGCTGGTTGTAGTAGATATAAGTTGCCCTTGCTATTGCATAAAATTTAGCTTGAAAGGCGTTGAAGTCGTTTCACAGACGAAAATGCTAATTGAATAGCAGGTCCTTTGGTCCATTCTCCTTCCAATCCGAGTCAAAGTGCTCAGCACAGACCTTAAAGTCTACTTTGGCTACACTAAACTGGGTTGCTTTTATTTTACGCAAGATTTCTTCTAAGACATACTAAACTTCCATTAAACTCCTACGCTAAGCCATCTGCATTCAACGTCTGGCTCAGCGTTTCTATAAATGGCGCCGTAAGATAACGCATCCACTCTTAGTAGCAACGGTATAGATAGTAAAAAAGTTCCTTACGCGTAATCATATAGTTTCTACTTATCGTCCTGTCCAGTCTTCCTGCTTTTATCTTACCTATCGGGCAATGTTCAGTAAGTACGCCATTGACGTACGCCACACGGATGTGTCCTATAAAAGAAGCTCGTACCTTGCTCCGCAAGTTCAAGTACTCTCCTCTATATTCCGCTTTCTGCGTAGTCATAGACAGACCTGAGGAGAGTTTAAGATGAACTGAGGTGCCCCATGATTACATTACTCCATCTCTGTCTGTTTTAAAGGTCAGCGAGTGCTGCCATTTTGTAACCTGGTAGGTCGATAGAGAGGATGTTCAAAATTGTTTTCCTTTTTTTGATCGAAGGGCAACCAAATGGTTTTCTGAATATTTCTATGCTGAATCTGGTACTACTCAGTACTCTGTTTCGTGCTACAGCGAAGTCGATCATCCCATTACTATTGTAGGTGGTACATATATATTTTCGTGATGACTGATGATTTTCCGACTTTTGAACCAAATACGCCTTCCCCTGTCTACCCTGGCATTAAAGCGACGAAACACAATTTTTCCATCTTGATGAAGGTAGCGCTCATATACGTCAAGTAACTCACAGAACTGGTATTTAAGATCATCGATCTTGACCTCTGTTGAGGCGAGCACTCAAATCTGGATGACGTTGTTAGAACTTGATTTTTTGGGCATTGTTCGAATTCCTTCACAAATGGGGGTGAATCTGGAGACAAGTTCTCGGAGTCTCCGCCAACCCTATAATCTCCCAAACGGCTATAGTAGAGCCGCATGTTGCATACTCTTTACAGCCATGTCCTGTCCAACGCTTTTCCGGTATTGCGGTGTTGTGCGTCTGAAATTACTGGAGGACATACAGAAATTTGTTGGTGGTGCCTTGGCTGCATATCCGTAATCGTAAATATTGTGGTTTAGTGCCAATCGTGTAATGGTGATCATTTGAACTTTGATGGTAAAGCAAACTATAAGCAGAAAATATGTGGAAGGACTCTTTGGACGATGTATTTTGGAACGAATTTCCGTCACCCCTTGTCAAATTTGGTTTGGCGACAAACCGATTTCGGCGTTATCTTCAGTGTAATTTTTTTCATTTTGGTTAATTCTATATCCTATTTCGTTTTCTATGTCACGTACGTCTTCATAGTTTTGCGATGCTCAATAGGTAAATGAATTGTTGTGTCTTGTTTTTGTCTTATTTTTTTTCAGTGTCTTTAATGTTTTTTTTTCTTTTTCTTCTCGTACGGTAGTTTTAGAGGTTCAAATAGTACTTTATTTCTTCATTTATTATTTGCCCTTTGAAGGTTTTCTGTTTATATTACTCCATATTTACATTACTCCATGTTTACATATTTTGGAGCAGATGTTGCTTCTGAAGCAGTCGGACAAAATTTGAATGGGCAAAATTATAAATCTAATATTCTTTGCTCCATGCAAGGCATATTAAAAATCGCTTATCTGATCGCTTAAATGACTTTTATAAGTATGTTTTTTTAAAAATAAAAGTCACTGACTGATTTTTCTTGATGACTTTTATAAATAAAAGTCTTTAATAACTGTTATCTTAGACATATAATATAAAAATCAAAAATAACTATTATTTGCAGATTGTTTAGATAAAAATTAAAAATAACTCTCATTTTGGATTTATAAAATATAAAAATCAAAAATATTTGTTGTTTAAGGAGTAATTAAATAAAAGTCAAAAAATAATTGTTAAAGAGCGATTTTTATAATAAAAGTTGTAACTGTTACGGTTCCTGGTCAAAACTGTATGATTTTTTGCCGGTAGAGTTTTAAAAAAGTCATCCAAATTTTATAAGAATTATATAAGTCTTCTTAAAATAATTATGTATGCGTGGGAAAAATTTTTAAAGTCATCGATAACTATTATTTTGAGACTTATATTATAAGAGTCTTCATAATTATAACACAGAAGAAATTTGTTAAGTCTTAAAGGACGGAAATTGTTCAGGCCCAATTCGGGACTAGTTGCGGTTCAGTTCAGGCCTAGTCTGGGCTCAGTTCCGGAAAGCTTTATCAGAGTGAAAAATTTACATATGTAGACGTTATCTTGAAAATATGTATTTGGTACGGCATAAACAAATCATTTGATAAGAATTTATAAAAGCGATACGAGTCTGCCAGACGAGGGTTCTAAAATGCTTAAGAGGTTCTAATTCGTTTTTCAAAAGCTATGCTCATACCTCATTAAACCAATTGTAGAACCAAAAGAGTCTAACGGATTAAGGGCTTTACAAAACATATGCTCAATTGCTGTTGATTAGCAGGTCAGAGCGAGTATAACCTTCCTCTCTAGGGCTTCAATAGCTTTCCCTATAAGAAAATAAGCTAATATTAGTAGGGCTGTCCTTATTAAAACCACGTTTTAGGAAGTATAATTATGACAAGTACATAAATAAAAAATTTGTTTTAAATACATATATGATTGGGTCAAGCTCCCATTGAACAAATAAAATTTGGGTTCGGGATTAAGCTTGGCTTGGAAAAACTTTTGAACTGATCTTAATATTAAAAGTCGCTTAAAACAAAAATGTCTGAGCCTCCTCTTGACAATCTTGTTTTTGACTTCTACTCATTCAATGTCGAATGGACATGATAAGTTTCTACAAAAAATGAAAATGTTTTTTTTTTTTTTTTTAACTTGAATCTTGAACCAATTATGATATCTTGTAATAGAATAACAATTTTCTAAAACTGTGGCATTCAAAATTCTGATCTCGTTTATTTATACATATAGGCAAGACATATTAATTAAGTAAAAGTATATCTTAAGTAAAAGCCACAAACAAAAGCACAATTAATGACATTCTTTCCTTAATTAAAATACGTAATATTTGAGAGAGTTNAAACCAATTATGATATCTTGTAATAGAATAACAATTTTCTAAAAACTGTGGCATTCAAAATTTTGATCTCGTTTATTTATACATATAGGCAAGAAATATTAATTAAGTAAAAGTATATCTTAAGTAAAAGCCACAAACAAAAGCACAATTAATGACATTCTTTCCTTAATTAAAATACGTAATATTTGAGAGAGTTACGTTCTTCATACGCTTCTAAGAGTCAAACGATTTAAAATGGCCTAAATTGAGCAAATACTTAAAAGCCAATTACAAACCAAAATATCAACGCAGGAATACGCAAAGTACGACAGCACAACAATAAAACAATGAAAATTATTTAATAATTCTTTACTACAATATACATACAAAATACAAAGAGAAATGCATATAAAACAAAAACAAGACAGCGAAAAACAATAAACAGAAAGAGAAACCAAAAAAAGAAAAAACGCAAAAACAACGCATTACAGTAAACAACTAAACAAACAAGCAAGGAAAATAGTTGAATATCAAGTAGCGCGCATGCGCACACCCTTTGCATATTAATACGAAATCAAACACAATTGCAAGAAACAAAAAATAGAAATTTAAAAAACATAAAAATAAAATTATACATAGAAACAAAAAAAAAATATTTGAAATACATTTTTGTAATAGGTGAGAGAAAAGCGCATATGTGTGAGGTGGAAAAGTAGATGGAGGAGGAAGAGGAAAAGAAAGAGAAGATCAGATCTTGAAGGGGAAGAGGCAAGTGGCGTTAGTGTGAGATCAAGCAAGAGAAGAAAGGACGAAAGAGATGAGAGTGCGACAGAGAGAGAGAGAGAGAGAGCGAGTATGAGAGAAGAACCCCGTTGGAAAAATATTTAAAACATACACACATACATACAAACAAAAATAGATGAAGAAACGTAAATATTTTTTCACAGTTTTAAATTTCAAACAAAATAAACCAAAAAAAAAACAAAAAAAAATATATTGAGAAATTACAAGATAAGAAAGCATGTAAAAACCGTATGAATTCAAAATTGAAAAAACAAAATCAATAAAATAAGTAAAACAGAGACAAAAATGGCGAACAGGTAAAAATTAATAAAACCGAAAAATAGCAACAAACGACAAAACACAGTAAAATCAGTTAATTATACGAAGTAGAAAACGGTAAATGCAGGCG